TAAGAAATATCAAGTACATAAACACACGAAAGATAACATATATGCTTTTCAAGCCATTTCAATTTCTCAGATTTGAGCACTGGAAAGAATCCACTAGATATATTTTTGAATACTACCATGTGTCTGATATATAATAACCAAATTGGAGGTCCCTACGAATTTTCTGGAAGGAGATCCAGTTTTTGGGGTACTTGAAAAATTTTGATTTGGGCAATAAATTTCACTTAGATCATGATTTAAGTGGATCTTTCATGGATATTTTCTAGGATTTCTTTGCTCTACTGAAAATAATAGCCTAAGTCTGCTAAGAAAGCAAAAACAGCTTGAGCTATCCGAAAAAGAGAATCACTTTTGGGATCAGCTGATATTGAGTATCGGTGAAATCTATTCCTGGTCCCCTAGTTTTCATGATGACAGCTGGAGTTTCGAAGAAAACTTTTTATTTTTTGAATTTTTTGTTCGTAGTCCTATCGCATAATAAAAGTCAAGTTATGGCATAAACAGGTTAAAATTATGTGTGCCATTCCTAGTCTTATCTGGTTTATCATAATTGAAATAATTCCTGAAAAAAATTTTCAAAAATACATTTGCCTTGTAAAAGATTTTCGGAGGTGTGGCTAAGCCACGTCTCCATTTTACCGAAATGGATGCCCTAGACCAGCAAAAATTTTGGGAAGCACAACAAAAGATTTTGTAGTCGTGCATTCTAAAGCCATGCATCTTCATCCAAAGAAATTTTTTTCTTCACTTCGAACGGAAATCTTGGGTACGCCGCTGATAGTAACGTAAGATAGTACTTGGAGTCTTTTTATAGCTTTCCATATTTGATTTTTGAGTCAGGGAACTACTGAAAACCTTTGAATCAACAACATGATTGACAATTTGGAGATGTCCTGCTCAATTTGGAGATGTCCTGCTTCAAGTCCTCTTGAAGCTTAGATTATACTCCCCAAAACCTACTTTGCAACCGGTATGTATCCCATATGGTCTCGGGTAAAACCATTAGCTGGACGTGGAGGTTGCGGTAATGGTCGTTCTACCACCTCTTCTATCCTTGTGCTTTCCAGTCGTTCCATAATCGGTCCGCCGCCATGCGTTTCAACAACGCGGGCACCGCCTTCTGAAAAATGTTTTAAGAAAAGCTGAAAAAAGACTCAAAAAAGGAAAAAATAAGGAAAACCGTCAGAAGGATATGAAATAATTTACATCGGAAAAAAATGTGAAAAATTTGAAAAAGGGATGTCAGACTCACCAGAAGTGTGAATCTCATGCACATCATAGCCATAATTGTTGAC